AAATCCCCCCAACTTTTGTTTTCCCACCGATGTGGGACAAACATTTTGCCAATTTCAACACATTTCAATTTAGATGGGGTAGTTCAACTCGGGACGGAGTTTAAGACAAAAAAAAAGACTTTTAAAACTTGTGGTCTTAAAAGCTTAAGGGATAAAAACTTTGTAGGGCCATAACATTTATGTGGTTATAAAAGCTTCTCGTTAAGGGTAAAATGAGTAAAATAAAGCGTTTAAAGTTGAATTATTTTTAATTGTAGAATGTGTCATTCTTTTTTGAACGGACTAATAAGGAAAGTGTATAATCTAAATTGAAACAGAGGGAATAATGTTTATTGACATTTTCGTAGTTTTCACATTCAACACTATTTTGTAGCAATTCCTAAACTATGTTCGTCTCAATCTTCCCCTTGGCCTCCTTACTAAGGAGAACATCTTCTGGATTCACATCTACCTTCTTGTATTTGTACCATGAAGCACAGAGTAAATAAAACCCGAAATTGAGCACACTCAATCCTGCTAACAACCAATAAAAGTAATCAAGCTTGTCTTTGTTCAAGTTGTTATTATCCAACCAGCCACCACTTACTTTGTTCACTATACTCACCACCACTGAACTTGTGTAGTATCCAATTGCCAGTGAAGACCAAGAAATCGCGGTACTTAGCGCTTTCATGCTTGATGAGCTTTCTGAATAGAAGAAATCCATCAATCCCACAAATGTAAACATATCAGCCAAACCAAAGATTGCATATTGATAGCCTAGCCAAAAGACACTCATTGGCAATGGAGTGGCGGATTCAACCATGTTGTGTTTAATAGCAACTGTTTTCCGGTGTTTTTCTACAATTGCAGCTACTGCCATTGACATAGCTGAAAGTACTAGGCCAACACCTATACGTTGCAGCTGTCGAATACCTGTTGGAATTCCTGTGAATTTCCTTGCTATTGGAATGAAAACGCGTTCATAGATAGGAATCAGGATAATCATAAATAATAGTGGAATTGCTGGAATTGAAGCCCCTGGAACTTCAAACTTGTGGATTTTTCTGTCCATTGTTGTGCTTTGTTGGATAGTGAAAGTTTGGAGCTGAGCCAAACAAGTGTTCATGAAAACAGTACTCAATATAATTGGGAGCATTCTGACTACAATTTTGGTCTCTTCAACTTGTGTTACTGTACAAAGTTTCCATGGTCCATGTGCACTTGATGTGAATGTGTTCTGGTCAGTCCTCATTATCGTTGCTCGGTCCAAAAACCTGCAAATATTTCAGGGCTTTATCATTTCTCTTATATCAAATATCAACTTGAACATAAGTTGAGAGTGTCAAATGTCTTAACATACCTGAATTGGTCAGTTTTTCGAAGAATCTCTGTATCGTTTCTAGATTCTTTATCATGAATCTCATGTTCATTCTCTGGCAAAGGTAGATTTCTGTTTCTAAGTGCTACAACAAACACCTGCATAATACGCGTAATGGGGCTTCCATTTGAGACATTGTTTCTGTACAATGATTTCCCCATAGTTAGGAACAGAATCGCCAATCCTACAACAATACTGCAGGCAGCAAAAGACCAATCCCATCCCTGATTCTCACTTATCCAAACTACAAATGTGACACCAAACAACGCGCCAGTGGTGAGGAAGAACATAAGCCAATTGAAGTAGCTTGATAATTTAGCAGCCTCTTTAGGGTCCTTCTCATCATATTGATCAGCTCCTAAAGGTGGTGTAGCTGCTTTAACTCCACCGGTCCCTATTGCAACTAGATAAAGTCCCGCGTATAAGATTGCCAATTGGCCTTTATTTGCAGACTCGCATTGATTCAGTTGGCTCAAGGGTACATCCTTACAAGGAAAGGGTCTTAATTGCCTGAAATGTGCTTGCACTGCTAGAAGTGCATACCCCTGAAAGTTAAGCATGCACTTTAGCGTTCGTTTGACTTAGCTCATTAAAGTAGCTGATAAGCATTAAGTGCCGAAAAACACTTTTAGGTGCTGAAGTTGCTTGTATGCAGTTGCATGATTAGATAGAAGTGTTGAA